ACGTTTACATTTGAAATATTCACCCCCTTTGTAACTAACAGGTCTAGAGTGTGCCCTCTGCTGTGGGTGGGGCCACTCACGTGCTGAGTGAGACCAAAGGTATCAAGTAAAGAACTCAGCTCATTTGCATTTCTGTCATCAACATTATCCACATGAATATTAAAATCACCTGTAATAACTAAGCTATCAAAATCTGTGCATACAACTGAAAGCAACTCGGTAAAATTATCAATAAAACTGTGACATGACTGCGGTGGCTTGTATAGAACTATGAAGAGTATTGGAGGAGATTGTTTTTGTTGTATTTTAAAAGACACATATTCAAATGACGAAAACTTCCCAAGAGACATTCTATGGGAGACAAAGTGGTCTCTGAAAATGGCAGCTAAGCCTCCTCCTTTTTTGTTTTCCCGTATTTCAGATTCAAATGTGAAATTTGGTGGTGATGCTTCTATTAAAACTGCATTTCCTGAATTTTGGTCAAGCCATGTTTCAGCCATGAACATAAGATCAAGATTATAAGAACAAATAAAATTATTGATTAAAAAAGACTTGTTACAAAGAGATCTGACATTAAGCGTAGCAAGTTTCAAAGTTTCAGTATCAGCGGTTGTGGTCGGCTGATTCTTACACGGAACAAGAATTAGATTTTCCAGATTAGACTGATTAACTCCAGATGTTTTTCTGTAATGTATTCTTTGTGTTATCACTAAGGGAATGGCACAGGTGGCTTCATGACAGGGCCCCAGCCGGGTCTCTCCTCTAACTAGACTGCCAGTGGCTGCGAAGCAGAGACCCTGTGCATCCTAGTGTTTAGAGAAAAGAGGGGAAGGGGAAGGTGGGGGAGGAGGATGGAGAGGTGGGTGGTTCTTGGGAGTTGGACGGGGGGGGGGGGGTTGAAGGTGGATGGGTTTTTGGTGATGGGTTAGGGGAGGGGCAGGCTGAGTTGGGTGGTGGACGAGGGGGGAGTGGAGGTGGAGGGTTTCTTGGTGCTGAGTTAGGGGGGAGGTGGGCTAAATGAGCAGGAGGGGGGGGTGGAATACTTATGGGGTTAGAGGAGGGACGGGTGGATTTTGTGGGAGAATTTGAGTTGGACGCCCTCGGTGGCTTTGGAGGTACGTATGGGGAGTAGTTTTGAATGTTAGATAGGACTCTTGATCTGGCTACAGTGGGTGTGAGAGGAATATTCTTCATCGCTGATCTTATCATGCCTGCCGAGTGTTCCGGTAATTCCAGTAGTGAAGGCGGGGATGGAAAACAAAGGGAAAGGTCGTCCTCATGTTCCTTAGATGGAGTGGATGTAGCGGGGGGGACCCAAGCCGGGTCCATGGAAGGTGATGAGGGAGTCTTTGGTGGAGACAGAGGTGGTTGAGGAACCCCCAGTACAGGCCTGACTGTAGCCTGGAGTAATGGGGGAAGCTTCACGGGAGCTGTAGGTGGGGAAGGTGCTGCTGAAGATGATGGAGCAGCCACTGCTGCTGCTGAAGATGATGGAGCAGCCACTGCTGCTGCTGTATCCACTGCTGCTGGTGAAGATGATGGAGCAGCCACTGCTGCTGCTGAAGATGATGGAGCAGCCACTGCTGCGGCTGTATCCACTGCTGCTGCTGAAGATGATGGAGCAGCCACTGCTGCTGCTGTATCCACTGCTGCTGCTGAAGATGATGGAGCAGCCACTGCTGCGGCTGTATCCACTGCTGCTGCTGAAGATGATGGAGCAGCCACTGCTGCTGCTGAAGATAATGGAGCAGCCACTGCTGCGGCTGTATCCACTGCTGCTGGTGGTGCTGTATATGCTGATGGCGCTGATGAAGATGTGGCAGCTGCTGATGATGCTGGTGGTGGAGGCGTTGAGCTCTTTCGGAGCCGTGGAGGTGTTGAGTTCTTCTTGAATCGTGGAGGTGTGGAGTTCTTTTGAGGCGGTGGGGGTGCAGAGACCTCAGGAGTCGGTGGAGATGGTCTTTGCTTCTTCTTTCGTGGAGGCGCTGCAGTTGTTAGCGGCTTTGTTGTTTCAGAAAGGGGTAAAAAGCGGTTTGAAGTCTTCAGAACATTTAGTTGTGGCCTTATTTCACTCCTATTGTCATTCTTAGCTTTGTCAACTTTGGGTTTAGCTCCACAATTGTTCCAATAATTCTCATTGTTGATTTTGGGAAAAGAAATGACGTCATAACTTACATTTCCAGTCTGTCCATTCATCCCATTTTCACTCATTGGAAGAGTCGGGTTCAGTCCCATTTCTGTTTCCACAATAGATATCCGTGTTTGAAGAGATTTGAGCTGATTTTCCAAAGCACAACAGCCGCCGCAGACGCTTCTCCGTCTCTTCCGTCCCGACATGACTAAAGTTGATAAATTCCACAAAGCTGAAGTGTGTAGAAGGAGTAATCCTTGTTTTGTAAATAAAATGATTAAAGGAGAAACAAAAAATGTAAATAAAATGATTAAAAGCGAAGCAAAAGCAGAGCAGAGAGACACACGACTGCTCTCTTGAGAAGCAGGATGTATGTACATGTGTCTGCCTGTGTGTGGTACGTCTCTGTGTGCGTACATGTATGTACATGTGTCTGCCTGTGTGTGGTACGTCTCTGTGTGCGTACATGTATGTACATGTGTCTGCCTGTGTGTGGTACGTCTCTGTGTGCGTACATGTATGTACATGTGTCTGCCTGTGTGTGGTACGTCTCTGTGATCCATGGTTCTGCAGAAACAACAGATTCAGGTAACTCAATAAAAAATAAAACACAGTTTGTGGCGCCACCTGCACGGGAAAGCTCCTCTCAGACTTATGAAGCTAAGCATTGCAGGGTCTGGTTAGTACTGTGATGGGAGACCTCTGGGAACAGCAGGTGCCACAGTGGGTCGGCTGTGGCTGTAAAGTGCCAAACTGTGGTTGTGTCCTTAGGCAAGACACTTCTCCCACATTAGAATGAGTCTGGTGTGAATGGTTGTGTCACTCCTCCTGGGTCCACTCCACACAGGATCAAACTGCATTGAAACATTTCAAATTGTTAAAAAAACTATCCAAAAGACCCCAAAACTGAATAAACACTTCACATCGTCCTTCAACCTTTATTCAAACTGTTATTTATTTCTGAGCTGCATCCTCAGAGTCACTTGTTGATGGCAGTAACTGCTGTAAACAAGTTTTTTAGATTGTTTTTGTAGAAGACATTCTGCATCGAGCACGAGAGGCTGAACTTTAACTGATTCTTCCCTTTAGAGAAAGTCAAGAATGGTGCTGGGTGGTTTTAGTATAAATTGTGGTGAATTAAAGCTATACCCGATTTATTTTCTATTGAGTTCATATTATTTATTATTACGAACAAGTTGTATTATAATCCGTGATTGAATGTAAAACTTGAGCTCATTGATTCAGCTGTGGATGAACTCAGTAAAAAGTGCTGAGTAGAGACTTAGCGTGACGCCCGCTCTCCTCCAATCACAGAACGAGGCTGCGTCCTCTAGCCTCTACAGCGCTGCTAAACACAGTAGCATGTTAGCATAAGTGGCTATAACTCCTCTGGCTGTAACTGCAGACACAGCAAAACAGCCCAAACCACACAACAGTGAGGAAGAGAAGAGGAACTAAAGCCACAACATGATCAAAGAAGAAACCAAGCCCTGAACAGAGCTAGCTTACATCGTATCCTCTGGAGAGACTGGTCTGAGGGAGAGACCTGCGGGACCGCCTTGGACTATCTACGCTCGGACTATCTACGCTCGGACTATCTACGCTCGGACTATCTACGCTCGGACTATCTACGCTCGGACTCCATTCGTACGCAGAATTAGCGGTAATCTTAGTTATATATTGTGTTAGCAGTGCGTTGCGTTTGTACCATTTCATCAGTGATTGTTGTACAGCTTAAGTTGTGCTCATGCTAAAGTTAGCATATGTATCAGATCGCAAATAAAACTAGATGTCTCCGTGGGAGGAGAGCGTAGGGGAAATGAGAAGCCTGTGAGCGAGTTGGGGGCGGGGCTAAACATTAAAACCTGCAGAAACGGGAATAGCTCCTTTAAATTGTAATGTCTGTCTGAAAAGGTCTCCACCTACTTTCATTTTACTGTTTACAACAACCTGCTCAAGGACCGCGGGTGGAGATTAGCACTGCTGCTAAAACCTGCTACAAAGCATCTCTCCTTTTGGCTCATGTTATTGTGCTCTGTCCCTGTGAAAATAAAAACCATACCATACTTCACACCATGATAAGGAGGTGTGCATCTGGTTGGTGGTGATGGGAGGGGCCGATGGCACAGTCTGGTTGCCCCGCTTCTATCAGTGTGCCCCAGGGCAGCTGTGGCTACAGTAGTAGTTTAGCGTGTATAGAGTGAATGAACAATGACGTTTGAAGAGTCTTTGGGCGTCTAAAAGACCACTGTAGATGGTGTACATGGTGTGTTTATGGTGTGTAGACGGCGTCTACATGGTGTGTTTATGGTGTGTAGATGGTAAGTAAGTAATCTTTATTTATATACCGCCTTTCAAAGACCAGAGTCACAAAGTGGTTTACAATTGTTACTATTTTTGGGCATTTGTCTCTCACTCCACACAGAGATGGGAGCGGGGTCGCCAGTACAGGAGGCGCATGCTAGAACTATTATACATATTTTTAGAGGTAGGGGAAACCGGAGCACCTGGAGGAAACCTACGCAGACACGGGGAGAACATGCAAACTCCACTCAGAAAGGCCCTGGTCCGGCCGGGATTCGAACCCAGGACCTTCTTGCTGAGAGGCGAGAGTGCTATCCACTCAGCCGCCGTGCCGCCGGTGTGTACATGGTGTGTTTATGGTGTGTAGATGGTGTGTAGACGGTGTGTAGACAGTGTGTAGACGGCGTGTACATGGTGTGTTTATGGTGTGTTGATGGTGTGTACATGGTGTGTAGCTGGTGTGTACATGGTGTGTACATGGTGTATTGATGGTGTGTAGATGGTGTGTTGATGGTGTGTTGATGGTGTGTAGACGGTGTGTACATGGTGTGTTTATGGTGTGTAGCTGGTGTGTAGCTGGTGTGTAGATGGTGCAGACTTGTGTGGCTGCAGAGTCCTTCACGCTCCACTCCAGAGCTCCCGGCGCCTCTCAAGAGCGGTCCCCAATCAGCGTGGCGTCCTGATCACCGGCGCGGCGACGACTCGGCCTCTGATGGCCATCGCCGTGTCATTGAAACTCCATCTCGAGCTGATGGAAGTGTGCTTATCTGGCGCCCTGTTGGAGCCCACGCAGTTAGAGGCGACGCTGGAGTGGACTGGGAGCATGTAAATGATGCAGGATAATGATGGTTCTGAGGTTTAGAAATGGACGGAAGATGGCGTCGCCTGAAACTACACTGACATTATGCAGAAGTGACTTTCTGAGCAGACGAAGGGCAAATACTGGTCTTATCTGAGTCAAATGTATCACATTCATTGGCTCTTTATGTTTAAGGCTTCGAAGGCTCTTCCTCATTCACCCAAAGGATAAATACACACTGCAAAAATAAGAAAACCAGGTAGTATATGCTTGAATCAAGAGTTTTTTTTTATTAATCTGACTCACTGTGACTGTTCAAACAAGATACGCCAATGGGACGAAGATATTTGGTCTATTTTAAGAACTGTGGCTTTATTTCCTCATTCCAAAGAAGACATGTATCATTTGTTTCATTTTTAAGACAAGATCACTCACTTTGTTCCTTAGGGTAATATTTATGGGGAAAGTCCTTGAGAAAGTTGTCTACCTACAGCTTACTAGATTTCTTATAATCAACAACTCATTTGATATGTTTCAGTCCGGCTTTAGACCCCACCACAGCACTGAGACTGCTCTCGTTAAGGTTACAAACGATATCCGGCTGAACACTGACGCAGGCAAAGTCTCAATCTTAATCTTGTTAGATCTAAAGCCTAGTTTATACTCGCGCGGCGCGGAGCTTACGGAGGTGACGTCACTTGGTCAACGCGTTGGTCACCCCAAGGCGCTTACGTCGCCTGCCGCGCAGCATCGAAATTTTCTAACTACGTAAGGGTCGCCGCAAGAAAGCTCCGCTGTGATTGGTCCGTGTGTGAGAGAAGCTCCGCTGTGATTGGTCCGTGTGTGAGAGAAGCTCCGCTGTGATTGGTCCGTGTGTGTGTATTGGAAGGAAGCACGGAGCGGCTGCAGCAGGAGCATGGACGAGGCACTATGGAGCAGAGAGCTTTGTGCTTCCAAGGAAAAGAGCCTGATATACAGGAGACTGTGGACTATCTAACATATATATAACTTATATCTAACATATATATAACTTATATCTAACATATATATAACTTATAAACTGTGCAGTCGTTTGTTTTGCACTGTTCCTGTCTTGTTTGAATCGTAGCTGCGTTTGTTGCTTTCCTCCTGCACTCGTAAATCGTTCATGTTTGTCTCAGATATTTACCACTATTATTGTTTTGCTGTTTGTGCTGAAAACTATTTAATAATAACTATGTTTCCAACAAGAACTGTGTCTTTATTCACAGTATCACAGTTGAAATGACTTATAAAATAATGAATCCATAAAACTATCACATAAACCTACAGTAGAAACACGTGTAATGAGCTCAAACAGCTTTGTTTGTTATTGTTGTTCTGAAGAGGACAAAGTAGCAGCGTAAATGGGACCGCTCCTGTGTGATCGCCCTCATGTGGTTTGTTGTGGGATTACAACATTCTCCTCAAAACTCCGTAAGGGGAACGCGCCAGTATAACATCAATTGTGCTTACGTAGGTCCACCGCAACCGCTAACGTAAGCCACGCCGCGCAAGTATACACTAGGCATAAGTGCTGCCTTTGACACCGTCGACCATGAGATCCTCTTACAGAGACTAGAGGACTGGGTTGGCGTCACTGGCACCGCCCTAAGTTGGTTTAGGTCTTACCTTGAAGACAGGAAGTACTTTGTGGAGATTGGAAACTGTGTCTCAGATCATATGGCCCTGACCTGTGGAGTACCACAGGGGTCGATCCTGGGACCTCTTCTGTTCAATCTCTACATGCTGCCGTTAGGTCAGTTAATACGCAGAAACAAAGTGTCCTATCATAACTATGCAGACGACACTCAGATCTATGTCTCACTGACTGCAGGAGAACATGGACCAGTGGACTCACTCCTTCACTGTATCCAACAGATCAGTGAGTGGATGCAAAACAACTTCCTTCAGCTAAACGCAGACAAAACTGAAATGATTGTCTTTGGTCCCCAGAAACAAAGAGAGAGCGTCATCTGTCACCTACAGTCTCTCTCCCTAAAACCTTCAAACAAGGTCAGAAATCTAGGGGTAATACTGGACTCAGACTTAAATTTTAATAGCCACATCAAATCAGTAACATCAGCAGCTTTTTACCATCTAAAAAACATTGCCAGGATCAAAAACATAGTGTCTAAAGCAGACTTGGAGATTCTTATCCATGCATTTGTCTCCAGTAGGTTAGACTACTGCAATGGCCTGCTCACAGGTCTGTCCAAACAGGCTGTAAAACAGCTGCAGTGCATTCAAAATGCAGCAGCTCGAGTCCTGACTAGAACCAGGAAGTACGACCACATTAGTCCTGACTAGAACCAGGAAGTACGACCACATTAGTCCTGACTAGAACCAGGAAGTACGACCACATTAGTCCTGACTAGAACCAGGAAGTAAGACCATATTAGTCCAGTCCTCAGGTCCCTGCACATTATCACATTAACCATATTCAGTGTGGTCATCGTTCTCCATTTTAATGCTATGTATGATTAACCGCTAATGCTAATAAGCTAGCCGTTTTGCACGGACCACAACAACACATTCCCAGTGTCACTCCTAGGCAAGGCAAGGCAAGGCAAGTTTATTTGTATAGCACAATTCATACACAAGGCAACTCAAAGTGCTGAACAAGATAGCATTAAAATCATAAATAATTACAGAACATTAAAACGAAAGATAAAAATATAAAATCCCTCAGTTGTATGCACAGCTAAACAGCACCGTTTTTAACCTGGTTTTAAACATTGTCAGAGAGGAGGCCTGTCTCACATCTTCAGGAAGATAGTTCCAGATTTTAGCAGCATGGATCTGAAAAGCTACGATCTGTGCACAATCTATTTTTTGCTAATTTCTTATGACGGCAGTGATTCCATACCTAGGGGATGTGTAGCACTTCACTCTTAATGTTTGGACTGATTAAGTGCTCTAAAAGAACAATGAAAAAACAAAATGTATAATAACATTCAATTTGTACATATCTAGTGTTGTGGGGTCTTTTTCCAAAAACACAATGGCTCAGTCAAAAAAACACTTCACAGTGATTTATTATTTCCCATTATTATCCCAGTGCAATACGGTGCAATATTTACAAGTTGTAGGCGCATGTTTCATCTCAGGATCTCAGGTTCTCAGGTGTTGCCTTCTCTGCAACCAAGCATCACTAAACTCGAGCAGGCCAGACCGGTCCTGCTCTTAAAGCACAAGCCCCTCCCCTGGGCGTTTGACAAACACAAAATACATTCACTGACTTTAAAGTTCAGTTACCTCCAAAACAATACTATAGAAAAAGTCCCCCACTACACAGTAAAGAATAGGATAATCCCCCTTTACAGTCATAAGAAACAAAAACACGAAATAAGGATCACATGACGCTCCTCAACACTTATGTGTGTGTGTGCGTCTCTGCCTCCGTTTGGCCAACCCCCGGGACACACGCGCGCAGTCCCGAGGAGCGCACGCACGTGCGCGCACACGCGAACGGTGAGTAGCACGACGGTGAGACCCAGTGTGCACCCGAGGTCTCACCAAACGCACCCACACTCCCCCCAGATGGAGAACTAGCCGTGGGTAATATGTAAACGCTGCTGTAGTACGTGCGCGCATAACACGGACGCTCCAGAGAAAAAGAGCGCGCGTCGCAGTGCGGTGCTCTCAGTACTAGGACTAGCTGTGTGGCCCCGTCACATCTAGCTTCAAGATGTGTTAACCTTACAGAAGACAGCCCAAGTTCGAAGAAAAGTTGTCCAGAGGATTTACAAGTCTAAACTAATATGTTTTGCTTAAGTTTTCACAGCTCCACTTATCAATGAAGGAGGATTCATACCTGACCCGGTATATACCAGCCTTTAGTGACAGAATTACAAGCAATTTTGTATGAAGATGAGAAATCCATAATTATTAAATTGTTCTTGTTGCAAAATGTTTGTGTTTTAATTTGTTTCCATTATCATTGTCAAGGTTTACTGGATAAAAATGTAGAAATTGTTCCCAAGTGTTAGGTTTATGATTTCATTAATGTATGGCCAAGCTATTTTATAGCCCTAATACAAAATACATATACAATATTAAGACCCATGTAAAGTGTTCATAAACATTTAATTTGCAAAACAATAACTTTAATACATAGTAGATGGTGATTATTTGCAGAAGCAAGCATCAAATTCAATGTTAGTGTTCACTCCATGTACATGAATATAATCTCTTAAAAAGATTGGAAGGAGGAGGTGGTGATCATTTTGAGCCATTGCTAAACAGTTTATCAAATACTAGTGATGTGCTGAGCGGACCGAGTCTTCAAAGCGTGGACCGAGTAATCTGGGGGCGTTTCTTGTGAAGTGTGGGTCGAGGCGTGTATTGGTCACGTGTGTGGTGACGTTCGAAGCCTCGCGTAGCGGCCGCACCACGTGACGGTTCATATAGTGCTTCATATAGTTCGGAGAGTGCATTGCTTTGACAGGTGCTTTGTGATCCGCGGCTGTACCATAGACTGTATTGGCTGTCCCCGTCTGCCTCTGTGTGCGTACGTGTGTGTGTGCGTACGTGTGTGTGCGTGATGTGGAGCAGTCCTGTACTAAGTATAGAGAAACTACTTCATATGAAATACAATTAAAAACGTTTCACTTTAGTAAAACCTCATATATCAAGGCTTCAAGTTATTAGTAATAATACGCTGGATAATACATTTCACAACAGCTGTGTGGCGCAGTCGGTATATGACGGACTCCGAAGCAGAAGATATAGCGTTCGAATCCCGGTCTACCCATAATAAATTTTGTGTTGCAAAGTAAATGTATTTATTTATTGGGAATAAATGGTTTGTTGTGTTTAATTAATCCACCTCTTGGTAGTTTTTCCTCCATTAGTCCATAGTTTTTTTAACTATGGACCGTGTTGTATTGTGTCCTTAATAAAGATTAATAATAATAATAATAATCACTTTCTGTAGAACTGTATTACTTTGGATGTGTTTGTTGTATCAACACAATTGACTGAAAGACTCAAATAGTTCATAGTTCATG